TCCGTCTGTGACGCATAGCTGGTGACCTTGGACGTGGCATGAGTATCTGTGCCTGATTCCCTCCTCTGCAAGATGCTTCAGGCCGTCCCACCTGGGGTCATCTCTGGGCAGTGCCAGGTGTCCCCTGCGGCTAGGCACTGGTTCCAGGTTGTGGGGACGTGGCAAGGAGCACCAGGGGGATCGGGAATCTGGGCTTCATAGAGGAGGCATCTTTTGAGCTTGAAGGATGCATCACATTCCAGAAGGCAAAGCAAGGCGTTCACAGTGGGAACCAGCACCGAGGATCTAAGCTGTGGTTCCCAAGACATTGCTCACTGAGGATCACTGACGCCAGCCCTCTGCTCATTCCTAGCTGTCCTTTTCTCTCTTTATTTATAAGAACTCTTTTTAATCCTCACCCGAGGCTCTATTGATTTTCAGATAGAGTGGGGAGGACAGAGAGACAGAGAGAAACATCCACGTGAGAGAGACACATCGACTGGTTGCCTCCTGCACGACCCCAACCAGGGCCGGGGACCAGGTTGCAACTGAAGCAAACAAAGTGCTCTTGACCAGAATCGAACCCGCAACTCTTTGGTCTGCAGGCCGATGCTCTAACCACTGAGTAAAACTGGCCAGGGCTATAAGCACTTTTTTTAAATTAAGTTTTTATATTACATTAATCTTTTTTTTTTTCATAGCACATCCAACAAACAAAACAATTTTATACCTTTTATTTTGCTTACGGTGGGTTTTGATAAACAGCATCATAAGTATTTTTACGTTGGCAAATTTTCTAGTCTCTTTACACATGATCTTTTTTTGGTTCCAGATGTTTCTTGTGACTTAGTCTCAGCTCTCCCGTGCACATGCTGGGCCTTTAGGGAATGACTGGGACTCCGATGAGGTTGAGAAATTGCTGCTGTAAGCCGGGTGCCTTTGCTCACTGGGTTTCTCCCCCTGGGGCTCCTTCTGTCCGTCTGCTCATTCCTTCCGGCCTGGAGTGAGGTTCAGCTGTGGCCCTCCAGCATGAGTCGGGCTCAGAGGTGATATGGAAGGGGCTGGTGTTTCCCGTTGGCCAACTTCCATGTGTTAAATTACTGAAACTCCATCATCACCCCATGAGACATATACCATTATTGGACCCGTTTTACAGATGAGAAACTGGAGCTCAGAGAGAGGTTATGTGACTTGCCCAAGGTCACCTGGGAAGAGACAGAGACAAGATTTGAACCCAAGCCATATTGCCCCAGAACTCAGACTCTCCTCTGAGATCAAGTCCAAGCTTTTTGATGACTCCCAGGGCCTCTCGGGGCGTCAGTTTCTTCCGCCTGCTTGGTAATGCCTGAGCTTTAGGGCCTGTGCCTGGGGGCACCCAGCGCACCATCTCCTTCCCGTTGTTGGGGGACAAGGTGTGCCCTCTTGTCCCTAATCCCTTAAATCCGGGGATGTTGGGCGAGGAAGGCCAGCCCCTTGTTGACAAGCAGGAGCAGGAAGGCTCTGAGGCAGGGACCTGGCGGTACTGCCCGCGGTGTGGAAACAGCCCCACTCACTGCGCTGCGGTCAGCCTCGGGCTGGGCGCTCTTCACTGCGGCCGCTCCGTCCAGGGAGCCCTCTGCCCTCCTCGGGTTAGACCCCCTGCAGTGGGCACTGCCTGTATAGTCACCCTAGTGGACAGTACCCAGGGGCTCTGTCCTTGGCTGCTCCCAGAGGCCTGGGGCCAAGGACACCCTGTCTCCCTTCTGCCCCACCCCCTGTAGAAGGATGTTCTCAAGATAAAAATACTCCCGGAAACATTCCCTGGTGCCTGGCCTGACCTGTCGCCTACCCTGGGGCCAGAGTCTCCTACCCTGGCTTCTCCTCAGGACTGAGTAGGTGTCAGCCCCCCTGGCCACTGGGTGCAGCCCCTGCCTCCAGACCACGGAAGGTGAGGGGCCTGAGGGTCTCGGGCACCGGGCATGGCTGGCCAGCGCTGCCCCAGGCCCAGGCCCAGGAGCAGGCACCAGGCTGCTGCCCGGGCGGATGGGGTTCATGGCTGTTGCCTCGTTGCCTGTGGTGTGTTCGGAGAGCATCCTGTGGGGCCAGTGGGTGGGCCGGGGCGGGTCAGGGCTGTGCCAGCTTCGATCCCGTTGGGAATCTCTCTGCTGACCTGGCTTGTCCTTCGTCAGAGCTGGGAAACCCCTCTCAGAGGTCACTGGAAGGCCCTGGCACTTCCTGTGTGTCTGCTGCGTGCCGCATCCCGGGACAGGGCCCCAGTTTACCTCCGTGACCGTCTCCTGAGGTATGTAGGGAGACTGAGGAGGCTGAGGCCCAGGGACAGACCCACAGTGAGCCAGGGTGGGGGAGGGTGGCCAGGTCTTGAGTGTGGGACTAAGGCCTCTTGGCCCTGGTGCCCCGCCCTCCAAGGTGGGAACAGGATGGCTGCCTGCCGGAGCCCTGCTGTGCCAGGCCCTGTGCCCTAGTGCACCTCCCTTGCCACGCTGAACCGCACATGCACGTCCCCTGGGAGGCCACCGGCCCATTTTGTGGAGGAGGAAGCTGGGCCTCAGGAAGGGGAAGTGCCCTGCCCTGTTCCCCGGAGGTGTCAGCCCCAGCCTTGGCTGACAGGTTGGCGTTGGTGGGAAGGCACAGAGGGTTCTGGTGTCAGTCCAGGTCCTGCCCTTGGTGGCTGGGAGACCGAGGGCCAGTGTGGCCCGCTGGCTTCAGGCTGTTTCTGCTGCCCAGGCTACCCCGTCTGGACTGTGACCACGACCCAGGCCAGTGTCTGGTGAACTTCAGAGGACCGAGGTCACCTCGTGGGCTGCTCCAGGGTGGCAGGGAGCTCTGCACGGGGGTCCAGAGACCTGTGCTCTTGTTCCCAAGCTGCCACTCATTCAGTTGCTTTGTGGTCTTGGGCAAGTCACTTCTCTGTGCCTGTTTCGTGGGTGAGAACATCTGGCTGACTGTTTTTGTGTCTGGAGGAAGCCCCTTTGAAGAGACTGGGGGTCAGGAACAGGTCGAGAGAGCCTGGGGCAGGCCAGGTGACCAGCAGGAGGGTGGAGGGCAGGCTGTCCACACCTGTCACCCTCACCCCTCCTCCCTCACCCCTTGGGGTTCCCAAGGCCTTGAGCAGACACCTCCTCTGCTCAGGGTTCCAGCTCTAGGTGACTGGGCGCGTGACCTGGCCGCCCTGAGCCTCAGCTCCTCTGAGCAGTAGCAGGAATCACCCCTCGCTCAGAGTGGGCCTTGAGGTTGGAAGAACAAGCAGGAGCTAAGCTCAAGGCCCAGGCGCATGTCCTTGCCATGGGCATTCCCAGCTGGGCGTGGTCAGTGAAGGTGCCTCCATTTCCCGATCAGTTTCTGGAGTGAAAGACCTAACTGAGGAGGTGCTGCAGGGCCAGGGCCGCTGCTCAGGGGATGAGGAGGGAGGGGAGCGGTGCTGAGGACCCGGACTCCTGCGGTGAGCCTGGGGAGTGAAGAGGCTCTCCATACCGGCTCAGCACAGGCCCAGGAAGGGAAGTGACTCCCCCGAGGTCGCACGCTTGTGAGGGGCAGGAATGGAACCATCTCTGTGTGCCCTTGCTGCTGCAGGAGCCTTGTACTGTGGCTGTGACCCGCCGAAAGTTGCCATAATCCCAGCCAGAAAAACCAGGTTGACAGTGGACCACAGCCTGGGCCAGTGGCTGGCAGGTGGGGGAAGGTGAGAAGGGTCTCTCGAGTCAGCTTGCCCCTGGAGATTCACAGAGCCCCTTCCCGATCCACGCTTCCGTGATCCTCATGGCACGCAGGGGGTGCACGCAGGGGTCCCTTTGACAGATGGGAAAACCAAGGCTTGGGGATTGCAGGGACCACGTAGGATGGTTAGTGTTCAAGGTAAGTCTCTGACAAGTTACCGATGTGCACCTCTCTGTACAGTGATATATCCACTCACCCATTTACCTGTTTTTCTATCCCACCCAACCACCTCATTCATCCACCTAAGAAATATACCCATCTGCTCACCCATTCATATACCCATCCACCCATTCATGTACCTATTCATCCATCTACTTATCTACCCATCCATTCACTTATCCTTCCACACACTCACCTACTGATCCGTAATCTACCCATCCATTTATAATTCATCCATCACTATTCATCCGTTATCCATCACCATCCATCATTCATCCATCCACCCATTCATTTATATATTCCTATACCCACCTACCTACCCATAATTCATCCATCTATAATCCACCCATCCATCCATAAGGGACTCTAATAATCCACCTGCCCATCTATCCATAATCCATCCATTTATCCTAATCCATCCATCCACTTACCCATTCATTTATCCGTCTATAGACCCACCCATCTGTAATCCATCCATCCATAATTCACTCACTCATCCATCCATTATCTCTCCCTCCATAATATACCCATTTATCCATCCATAATCCACCCATCCATCCATCTATCCATTCATCCAGCTCTGTATCCACCCACCCTTTCATTTTTCCATTTACACATCCACTCCATCCTCCATCCATTCATAATCCATCCATCCATCCATCCATCCATCCACCCACCCACCCAAAGGTGGGCCCTGTGATTAGCATTGGGAAGGCCCTTCAGGTGGTGGCTAGGAGCACAGGCTAGGGACCTGAGTTCCTCTGGTCCTCAGGAGAATTACCACATTACCTACCTCTCTGGTATGGGGACAGCGATAGTTCCAATTTTGTGGGTGGTGGTGAGGATTACAGGAGTTGACGTCTGTGATCCACCTTCCACAGTGTCTGGAAACAGTGAGCACTTGCTGATTACCAGCTGCTATTGCCTCGGGATCTATTTCGTTTGGCCCTTCTCTGGTTCTGGAGGTTTCTTATGGACAGGCTGACAGGCGAAGGTGTGGGAGGCCCCTGCACCCATGGGGCCCTGGGGGAGCAAGCGGAAATGTGGGTTCATGTGGAAATTTCTGACTTCTGAGCCCCTTGGCAGAGTGGCACCGTGGCACCGTCCACAGTAATTTGGCTTTGCTTTGTTAACTTTAGGGTCTCTTAGCGACGGATTCGTCTCCACCGGGTGCTGGGGAGGCGGCGGCTGCTGCTAGTGCAGCCTTGAGGACAGCCATGTGCCCACTCCACACTGTTACTTAGAAGACAGCATTCAGGAGGTAAGCTAAGGTCACTGATGCGCACCTGTCCATCCAGTCATCCCAACCAGACACTCACCTGTCTCTTCTTCTGCCTGCTCACCCATCCACCCACCTGTTCAGACTCATTCACCATTGTCTGTCCACAGGTTCCACAGTCCTCCCATCCGTCTGCCATCCACCCACCTCCCCAGCCATCTTTCCATCCGTGTTCTCCCCTCTCCCAGCTATTCACCCACCAGCACCCGCCATTCCTCATCTCACCCGGCCACCCATGTCTGTTCCGCCACTAACCTATCCCCCCAGCCCGAGAGCTTGTCATCTCCCAGATTGTGATAATGGGAATGGTCCCCCTCCCAACCTCCCGTGTCCCCCCCAAGCCTCGCGGCCCCCGGCCCTCCGAGTGTGCCAGCTCCTCCGCCTCCGGCTCCTTGCTCCGCGGTGCCCTGACCAGCAGTCATTTCCCACTCACCTCAGTCGTCCGTCTCTCTGGTTGCACGCGTCCATCCATCCAGTCATCTGTTAGTCCCGTCCTCCGTCCATGGGCTCGACCACCTGTCTGTACATCTGTCTGTCTCCTCATTCATTGATCCATCCGCCCCCACACACTTTTTTGTTCAGCTGCTGTTCCCTCGTCCCTTTGTCTAGTCATTGTTCCCTGGGTGCCCTCCCTGAGCCAGGCCGGTCGGCCTCTCTGGATGGCTGAGGCTGGCCGGAGACGGGGCCTCTGGCCCTAACCGGAGAATTCAGGGCTTCGTGGAAGCAGTAGCCTTCAGCTGATCCCCATGGACGGGAAGATTCTAAACATTCTCTTTGCTGTGGTTTGGGGGTCAGACCACATGGGGCAGAGGGTCGCTGCCATGAACCCATCAGGAGCTGGTGGCTGTACCCAGACAGGAGTGGCCTGGACGGGGTGGAGGGGGTCACTGTCGACAAGGAGGTGGCAGATGGCCCTGAGAGGTCAGGAGGTAAAAGGCCCAGGACCAGGTGAGGGAGTTGATATGGGGACTGAAGGAGAGAGGAGGCCAGGCTCCAAGTGGCCAGGCTGCCAGCTGACTCCGTGAGGAGGAGGAGGAGGAGGGGAAGAGGGGAGGAGCAGGTGGGGGAGAGAGAGGAGGACGAGGTTGGAAGAAGGGGAGGAACCGTGCTGGCCTCGTGGTGTGGTGGGACATCCAGAGGGGAGGCTTGAGTTTGGCAGCCTTCGCCACAGAGGGGCCACCTGAAGCCTGTGAGGCAGGGCCCAGAAGACAAGATTCTGTGCAGGTAGTTCAGTGGTTGGTGACCCAAGAAGTACTGGAGGTGAGACCAGGAAGGGTAGGAGCCACTGAAGACCTGGGAGGCGGTGCAGAGCAGGCGCCCCAGAGTGCCGTGGGGTCAGGGAGCTGCCCTGTCAATCTGAGTGAAGGCTGCTCTTGGGTGTGCATTCCCTGGCCTGCCCCGGAGCTACTGGGCAAAAAGACCGGTGTTGGTGGCTGGATAGTGGCAGTGCGCCCTGGAATGGTTAGGGTCCGGGGAACAGGTGGACCACCGGCCACCCCCATCCCCAGCACATATCAACATATTGTTGCTGTTTCTCTCCTCGGGTCAAGCGAGGCCTTGGCACAGAAAGCCCGCCTGCACCGTGTTCGCCCGGGTGTCGGCGGGACGTGGTGTGCCCTGTGGCAGAGGCGTGTCTGTGCAGTGGCGGAGGGGAGGGAATTTGGCCTGCAAAGGTGATTCTGCACAAGGATGGGAATGGTCCCCCTTCGAGGCCCCCTCTCCCCTCCAGGCCAGCCTCAGTCTGCTCACTGCCCCCCTGTGTGTGAGCACATCCCCTCCTGCTCCTTGCTCAGCACCCCCGCCAGGATGCCTCTGCCCTGCCTTTGCTTTCCCAGCTCTCGGTGCCCGTCCCTGCTGGGCTGCCCGCCTTGCTGTGGCCCAGCCTCAGGCCAGCCGGTCTCACGTCCTGTGTGACTGAGCAAGGGACCATTTCCCACCTGCAAGTGAAAGATTGGCTTCTTTAAGCTCTTGGGCTAAGTCTGACACGTAGTGAAGGGAAGATCCCGAAGCTGTTCCAGGGCACAGTGAGAGAGATCCCTGTGGATCCCGGGTGTCTGCCACGGGCGTAGGTAGAGAGGCTGTGTGAGCCCCATTCTGGCTCTCCCTGAACTAGTGACTGAGGACTTGAGGTTGTGGGGACCCCATCCCTGAACTTCTAAGCAAGGGCTGAATGGCTGCAGGTCAGGGGTGCTGTGTGGGCTCGCCCCCCTGCTGCGTGCTGAGATTCGGGCCGCCTGTATGTCTCACCGCCACCTGGGACCGCCAGGCCGCGAGGGCTGAGACGAACGCGGTGTCACGCCCACATTCTGGCTGCGGGGTGGATTTTTCTCCTACCCTCAGACTGGGAGCTCACTGCTTAAAGGCTTGTGACCCTGGGCAGTGACTTAATCTCTCTGAGCTTCAGTAACCTCATGTAGAAAATGGGGTGATAGTCACCATGTTGTAGGGATGAGAGCTCTTAGAACAGTGCCTGGCAGGTAGCAAGCATGGGGGGGCATTGATCACCACGCTTATGCCTCTGGAGGGGCCAGCTGAGGGCTCCTTGAGGGTAGGGGACCTTGGGCCTGCCCCCGCAGGGCCCCCGGTTGGCCCGTACAGTTCTCTGAGAATGGGGGCCTAGGCCTTCCCGGTACCCTTCCTGATGCCATCAGAACCTGAGCTGCGGGACTGAGTGTGGAGGGGCCTGCTCCATCCAGAGGCCCCTTCCAGTGACTTTCGGGCCCCTTCCGTGGGCCATGTGGGAGCTGCCTCTCTCAGCCTCTCGGCCCAGGCCCGACCAGGGTTCTGAGCATGCTGGCTGCTGCGAGGCCGTGTCCACAGCCGCGGGGGCTGGCGGGACAGCTTCGCCACCTCCCCGGGCTCCGGGCCAGCTTCTCCGCTGCCAGGCTTGCTCCCTGCTGTCTGGGGTGGAAGTCGCCCCTCCCTTCAGGCCCAGGCCCTGCAGCCCAGCGTCCCTCCCGTGTCCTCCCAGCAATGCCCAGATGCTCGTTGGCCAACCTGGGCATCTGCTGAGAGTGGTCCTGTTATCCTTACCATCTCATCCCAGCCCAAAGTTGCTCTGTGACCTGGGGTAAGCGTCAGCCTCGGTTTTCCCATCTATAACATGGGGAGCGGGCTCTTTGCTTGCTAAGGCCTCTTGCAGCAAAACAAACCTAATTCTGTTTCTTACCTGATTTAACCACGTGCACCCCTTGAGCAAGCGCCAGCCCGGCCTGCAGAACCTCGGTTAAGGATACCATCCCACGTTTTTGTTTTAATCCTCACCCGAGGATATTTTTTCCATTTATCTTCAGATAGAGCGGGATAGAGGGAGGGAGGGAGGGGCGGGGGAGAGAGAGAGAGAGAGAGAGAGAGAGAGAAAGAGAAACATTGATGTGAAAGACACACATCGACTGGTTGCCTCCTACACGACCCCAGTCAGGGCCAGGACTGAACCACAACCCAGGTCCGTGCCCTTGATTGGATCAAACCTGCAACTCTCTGGTCCACGGCCGACGCTCTAACTGCGGAGCCACACCGGCCAGGGCCTCGTCCCACGTTTTCTCAATCGAGTCCTGAAAGGCCACAGAGCGGCACAACCTTCTTGCCAAGCCTGAGTGTGTGTGTGAGGAGTGTCCTTGGGACATTTGGCCAGTTAGTGGTGCTGTTTACCAAGAGCTGTGGGGGCTTCCCACGCCCTGCGTGTTTCTTGCACACGCGTGCACACATAGCAGAGTGAGGGCAAGAGAGGCCGAGGACTGTATGGGGCTCGGGGCCTCCACTCCTGTCTGTTCTTTTGGTTTTGTTAATCCTCGCCTGAGGCTATTTCCCCATTGATATTTAGATAGAGTGGAAGGGAGGGGGAGTGTGTGTGTGTGTGTGTGTGTGTGTGTGAGAGAGAGAGCGCAAGAGAGAGACATTGATGTGAGAGAGACACATCAGTTGGTTGGTTGCCTCCTGCAATGACCCTGACCAGGGCTGGGGATTGAACCTGCAACCCTGGTACATGCCCTTGACTGGCATCAAACCCAAGATCCTTTGGTTTGCAGGCTGATGCGCTCACTGCTGAGCCACACCGGCCAGGGCTGTCTCTGTTCTTTAGTTTCTGGGTGACTTTGGACAAGTGACTTGGCCCCATATCTCAGTTTCCAGCTCTGAGAAAAGGGGGAGTGGGTGTGAACATGACCTTGGTTTTCTCTGTGTGGACTTAGGAGGAATGTCAACAGGTGAGGGGGTTTCCACCTCTGTGTGATGCAGTCCCGTTGGGTCCCAGGAGTCTGCGCAGCAGCGGCCAGGACGGTGCACCAGGACGGGCTCTCTGGCCTCTGATTCTTGCACGTCTGCCCCGTGCAGGCCTTGAGCTGGTTGGAGAGCCCGCGGGAGTAGCCATGACCTGTTGCATGTCCCTCAGAGTCTGCAGGCCACAACCCTAGTGATCTGGCAGCCTCCTATGGCATGTGTGCACCCTGACCCTGGCACCCCTGAGGGTCCAGGAATAGGAGGCTGAGCTGTTTCCTGACACAGGGACTCCCTGGGTTTCCCCGCACTGCGGCTCCCTGCCTCCTGGCCTTGGCAGAAGCGACGTCCACCACAGGACCTCCGGCCTCAGCTCCTGAAGCCCGTGGTGAGGCATCGGGTGGAGCACCTGGCGGGGAGGATGGCAGCAGGAGGCGAGGCCCCCGCAGAGCCTGGGGCCCGTGAAGGGAGCCCTCGTGTTGCACAGAAAGGATTCAGACGCAGCTCTCCTGTTTATTGGTGGCGTGGCTTTGGGGAAGTCACTTTGCCTCGATCCATTCAGAGAGGAGAAGTACAGGTGGTAGCTGCCTCCTTGAGCTGTTGACTGGATGCCTCGAGCATTTGCTGACGTGTCTGGCCTGCTCTCCCTGTGCTTGAGGAGCTGGTCCACTCGGGCAGTGAGCACCGTGTGAGAATCATGTACTGTCCAGCTCTGCGGACCCAGCAATGCCTGTGACCCGGACAGACCCTTGGGGGCTTCGCAGCCTGGCAGCATGAGGGCTCCACCCTCCTGTGTCCTAGAGGTTTGGAGCAGAGCTCAGCGGTTGTGCCCCTCTGAGGCTCTGGCTGCACCTGGTTGCACAGACCAGGGCTGACTCCCAGCGCGGCTACCTCCTGGCTGTGTTACTTCCAGTTTCCGAGCCTCTGGTGGGTGTCCAGCTGCCTGCCTCCCTGCTCCCGTCCTGGCTGTCCTGGGACCTTCTCCCCTGGGGCCTCATTGTCTTCTGGGCACTCAGGGCTCCCGGCTTTGTCTAGCTCTGACATCATACTGCAGCCATGTGGGGTTTGAGGGTGCATGGGGTCCCCACTGGTGGAGAGAAGCATGCCAACTCCTCATCTCCCTGGTCAAGCCCACTGGCCAGGGATCTCCCTCTTCTTCCAGCTCAGTCCTGCTGAAACAGGATGAGGTCCTGAGTACCCACAGCCCCCGTGCTGATAGCCAGATGGCCTCAGTGCCCACAGGGCCAGGTGGTGCCATGGCTCCCAGCCTGCAGATGCCTCAGCCTGGCACCAGCAGGGCATTGGGGGAGGGTGGCTACTGGCATGTGTGTCTAGGAGCTGGATGAGTACCACTGCCGTGGGAGCAGTGTTTGTCTGGCATGCCCTGAGACCACCCAGTGTGTGCGTGCATGGTGAAGTGTGAGTGTGTGCATGGCAGGCTGGCCAGGTGTGTGTGAGTGTGTGCATGGCAGGCTGGTCAGGTGTGTGTGAGTGTGTGCATGGCAGGCTGGCCAGGTGTGTGTGAGTGTGTGCATGGCAGGCTGGCCAGGTGTGTGTGAGTGTGTGCATGGCAGGCTGGCCAGGTGTGTGTGAGTGTGTGCATGGCAGGCTGGTCAGGTGTGTGTGCATGTGTGTGTGTGCATGGCAGGCTGGCCAGGTGTGTGTGAGTGTGTGCATGGCAGGCTGGCCAGGTGTGTGTGCATGTGTGTGTGTCCATGGCAGGCTGGTGAAGTGCGTGTGTGCATGGCGAGCTGGTCAGGTGTGTGTGTGTGAATGTGTGTGTGCATGGCAGGCTGGTCAAGTGCTCCCTGAGTGGGTGGAGGATTGTGATGCTTCTGAGTGCTTCCTGTGTGCTCTTGTTTAGAGCTGAGGAAGGTGAGGGTGACCCCTCTGGGCACTGAGTTAGTGTCCCTCCTAGCCATTGCTTGTGACAAGGAAGCTGAGGGTGTGGGGTATGTGTTCTGCAAGAGTGGGTGTCTAGGATGGAGTATGTGAGTGTCGGTGGATGGGTGGGGCCCAACTTGGGATGTTTTGGGGAACAAGGCCTTTTCCAGGCCCTAGGGGGGAGTCAGCTGTGAGCAAACAGCAAATCCACGTGCTCAGGTGGCTGATGGTGTCACGGGAGGGCTGGCAGTGTGGGCATTACAGGTCAGGGGTCAGGCTGTGTGGCTGCCGTGGGGACGTGAGAGGGTGCACATTCTCTGAGCGCAGGGAGCACCTTGAGATGCCCTCGTGGCGTTAAGGCCAGCCTGGTGGGGCGAGGCCTGGGAGGAGTGTCCAGGGCGGGCTTGAGGAACAGCAAGGAAGCAGCCAGGTGAGTGAGGGGAGGCCGGCAGGTGCGACCGAGGGGCCCGGGCTCTGCCCCCAGGCCTTGCCGGTGCCAGTGGGCGTCTGGTTCTGAGCAGAGGAGGGACAGGCTCCCTCTGGCTGTCGCTGGACACGGGTTGGGCAGAAGCATGGAGGTGGGCGAGGTGGCTGCCACGCTGGTCCAGGTGGCTGATGGTGGGGACTCAGGCCACAAGGGTGGAGCAAGGGGGTGGATCTGAAATATATTTTGAAAGCAGAGCCCTTAGTGTGCAAGTGAGAAGCTGAGGCTGAGTCCAAGGTGTCTGCTGGAGGGACTGGGAGATGAGGGCGGTTTTTCAAGCCGAGAAGGAGGGTGAGGATCTGGCCTGTGGTGGGAGGGAAGGTTGGGTCTTTGTTGTGGGTGCATCAGGGAGGACCATGAGTGGGGGACTCGTGGGACAGTGTCGGACTCTGCTGTCTTCTCTGTTACAGGAGCCACTCTGCCTGGGTCGGCCTGGGGGCGAGCGGCCCCATCCCCGGGATGACGGCAGCAGCTGGCCGGGCCAACCCCTACAGCATTGTGTCGTCGTCGGAGGACGGGCTGCACCTGGCCACCATGTCGGGCACCAACGGCTTCGGCAACGGCAAGGTTCACACACGGCGCCGGCGCCGAAACCGCTTCGTCAAGAAGAACGGCCAGTGTAACATCGAGTTCGCCAACATGGACGAGAAGTCGCAGCGCTACCTGGCCGACATGTTCACCACCTGCGTGGACATCCGCTGGCGCTACATGCTGCTCATCTTCTCGCTGGCCTTCCTGGCGTCCTGGCTGCTGTTCGGCGTCATCTTCTGGGTGATCGCGGTGGCCCACGGCGACGTGGAGCGAGCCGAGGACCGCGGCCGCACGCCCTGCGTGCTGCAGGTGCACGGGTTCACGGCGGCCTTCCTCTTCTCCATCGAGACGCAGACCACCATCGGCTACGGCCTGCGCTGTGTGACGGAGGAGTGCCCGGTGGCCGTGTTCATGGTGGTGGCGCAGTCCATCGTGGGCTGCATCATCGACTCCTTCATGATCGGCGCCATCATGGCCAAGATGGCCCGGCCCAAGAAGCGAGCGCAGACCCTGCTGTTCAGCCACCACGCCGTGGTGGCGCTGCGTGACGGCAAGCTGTGCCTCATGTGGCGTGTGGGCAACCTGCGAAAGAGCCACATCGTGGAGGCCCATGTGAGGGCTCAGCTCATCAAGCCGAGGGTCACCGAGGAGGGCGAGTACATCCCCCTGGATCAGATCGACATTGACGTGGGCTTTGACAAGGGCCTGGACCGCATCTTCCTGGTGTCGCCCATCACCATCCTGCATGAGATCGATGAGGCTAGCCCGCTGTTTGGCCTCAGCCGGCAGGACCTGGAGACGGACGACTTCGAGATCGTGGTCATCCTGGAGGGCATGGTGGAGGCCACCGCCATGACCACGCAGGCCCGCAGCTCCTACCTGGCCAGCGAGATCCTGTGGGGCCACCGCTTCGAGCCCGTGCTCTTCGAGGAGAAGAGCCAGTACAAGATCGACTACTCCCACTTCCATAAGACCTACGAGGTGCCCTCCACGCCCCGCTGCAGTGCCAAGGACCTGGTGGGGAACAAGTTCCTGCTGCCCAGCACCAACTCCTTCTGCTACGAGAACGAACTGGCCTTCGCGAGCCACGACGAGGAGGACGAGGCCGACGAGGGCCAGGACGGCAGCAGCCCCCGGGCCCGGCACACCTTGGACAGGCCCCCAGCTGGCGGCAGCGCCCTTGAACAGCGGCCCTACAGGCGGGAGTCGGAGATCTGAGCTGCTGGTGGCCAAGGGCGGCACCTGCAGCGGAGTCGAGGCCTGCGTCCTGCGAGGTTGAGAGAAAGGGCCGGGTGCCCTGGTTGCAGACTCAGTAGCATTCTAGGTGTTTTGTTTCTTCAGAGCGGCCTTGGAAGGTGGGCAGGCGAGTGGGTGGCTGGAGCAGGCTGGCCCCTGGCCTCAAGGCCCAGCAGGCCCAGGGGCAGGGGCTCAGTCTGTCCGGAATGGCTCTGCCCCCTGAGGGCTGCAGGCTGCAGGACACCCCGCTGGTTCTTAACTTGGGGGGAAACATGGGATCTTAGCTTGAGTAAGACTGTTTACAAAAAAATTAACGTGTGATTAACATTTTTTAAAATTCATGGAGGTACCAAAAAGGGTCGTTGGAATTCCACTGCTTTGCCAGGATACCAGCAGCTGGGCGGGGGCTCCAGAAAGCCCCCCAAGGCCTGAGGGTCACAGTGCTCGCCGGGGTCCTTCACCTGCGGTGCTGGGTTAGATCCCGTGGTGCCAGGAAAACCAAGACCACGTGCGATCGTGATGGAAGCTCTCGTGTCATAGAGGCGGATGCAAAGCCGGGGGAAGACTAGTTTGAGATTTTCTAGTTCGACTTTGCACCTTAGAGGTGCTTCTCAGGGTCGGATATGAGACCTGCCTGCCATGGGGGGCTCCCTCTCCCCGGTGCGCTGGGTTCTCCTGGTTTGCTTCTCTCTCCTCTGGCCAGTGGCCTCCAGCTTTCCCTCGTGGGCGTGGATGGCTCCCTGGGGAGGGAAGCGGGGTCCGAGACCAGGAGGAGCCGGGCCAGCCGGAGGAGGCCCAGCACGAGTTGTGCCTTAGAGACACCAGTGGTCTGGCTGCAGTTTTGTTTCCACGGGACTTCCCTGTGCTCCCCGCTGCCCTGACTGACCACCGAGTCCCTGCCAGCCCCTCTGTGTGCAGAGGCTGGGCTGACTGGTGCCCCCTGAACCTGGGCAGCATGAGTGAGCCCAGTGGGTGGTGGAGGCCCGGCCTTGGGGAAGGTGTGGGATTGTCAGCGGGGTAATCAGGAGTGGCACACGCGTCCAGGGGCCCCGGGCAGGGGAGGTTGGGCTGTGGGCTCTGCCGGTCCAGAAGCAGGCCCCCAGACCAGCACTGCCCAAGGAGGCTTCTTATTGGCAGAGAAGACAGCTGGTGGGGGCCGGACCCTGGGAGGGAGTTGGCTCCTTCCCAGGACAGCTGAGATGCAGTCCTCCCAGATGGCCAGCCCCGAAGGAAGTCCGTATTAGAAAACTGGCATCTCCTCAGCTTACCTGCCCAGGCTGCTCCAACCGGTGTCCTCAGGACAGCGCATCAGAAGGCACCAGGAACGCTGGCCCATGTGGGGAAACTGAGGCAGAGTGCAAGGTCATGAGATAGGGGGTGGGACTCTGGAGACAGGGAGAAGCCAGGGCCTGGGTGGGGTCTCCTGTCTCTTCCCTCCCCCTCCGCCCCCCACAGCTGGAGGCCTGACCTGTGGAGGGCCCGGAGGGCTATCAGCTCCCTCCCAGAGATGCCCGGCAGCCCCTGCCCTGAGGTAGGCCCGAGTCCCGAGACCCTGTCCTAGCCTCAGACCTCACCCCAGCTGGTGGCCAAGGAAGTTCAGCCTGAGGCGCTGGGGCGGGTCTCCTCTCTGCCCTGGCCTCCCTGCCTGGAGCCTCAGCCTGGGGATGGGGATGGAGCTGATGTTGCCGGCCCACCAGCTTACCTACCAACCCTGTCCCAGGTGGTCAGGCTGACCCAGGGGGAGTGAGGTGGCCCCAGGGAGCTGGGTGGCCCGGGCTGGTGTCCAGTCTGCCCAGAGACCCTCCAGGGCTGGTGGCCGGCCCTCCACTCAGTCCACCCAGAGCAGAGCCCGGAGCCCAGAACCTTACGGCCCTGGTGGTCTGGGTGGTCAGGTGCACCTCCTCTCAGGCCTGGCGCACCCCGACAGCCGGTCCCCAGGTCCTGTGGGAGAGCGGCCCCAAGCTGCCTTTCATCTCTCGCCAAAGGCAGATGCTGTGCTGCTCCTCTGCCCTTCCCTCTCCCCTGTGTTTATTTATTTATTGCTTGTGCTGAAGACCAAAATAGTCTCCCTCTGTAATGCACTCGAAACTGGAGCGTGACAGGAGGAGCAGCTGTGTGGCCAGCGAGGGTCACCCGGCGGCCGCGGAGTGAGGGCCCATGTGTGGCATGTGCAGAGCGTGTTTCTCACACGAGTGGCAAATGCACGTGCACGTGTGTGTGTGTGTACGTGGTGTGTAGTCTGCTGAGCAGGCGTGTGCTCCACAGCGCTCCTGCCCTGGCCCTCCTGGCAGTGGGATTTGCCTGAGCCAGGAGGTCCAGAGGTTGGAGTGGGCTGAGGACGAGGCCTCTGCATTCTCCTCCCCCAGACACAGGGCCATGCGAGCAGAAGTGTGTGTGACTGAGCATGAGCACGAGTGTGTGGCTTCACGTGGAACTGTCTCATCTGTTTGGACGTGGATTCATTGTACATGGGACTGTTGTACAGATGTGTGCACATGTCTGTGAGTGAATCTAGGATGATACAATGGACACGTGATATGTATGTGTGCAGGTAGATACACACACAGGCATAGTTATATGTACACTGACCTGTAGGTGTGTTTGTGTGCCTGTTTTACATGTGGGCATCAGTTTGAATTTTCACCAGGCCCTAAGGCTGGGCATGCACCACCCAGGATGGACCCCGGCCAAGGACATCCGCACAGCTGAACTCAGTCGCCCACTGGCCCTTTGCCCTGATTCTGTCCATGTGGGCTGTGTGGACTGTGTGTGCCAGGGTGAGGCTTTTGTATGCCTGGGTGTGAGGTGGTATCTACACATGTATGTGTGTCCAGCAGTGAGCGATGTGTGCAGGAAGCCATGTGTCCCTCTGAACGTGTACACGTGCATGGGGTGCGTTTGTGTGGCAGCTGTGCCAGGCTTTGAGCAGGGCTGGTGCCTGCCTGCAGGGGGCAGTGTGCACGTGTGTGCAAGACTGTCGGGGTGGTGTGCCATGTGCGTGCTTGCACACAGCCCTCTGGGCTCCGCTGGTGCTGTGCTGAACTGCCCAGCCCCTGCCTGCACAAGCGTCCCAGTGGGGGTGGGGGCTGGGGAGGGAGTCCCCTGCAGGGGTGTCTGCCTAGTGTGAAATCACAGAATGTCAAATATATTTTCAATGGCGGATTTTCATGTTATTTTCAATACATAGCGGTCTCTGAAGACATGGGCCCCAGGGCTAGACCACATTAAATGCATTTTGACCTTGAGTGCCACCATGTGGAGAAGTGTTCGAAAGGCCCTGCCCGGCGCCAGCACATTCTGCCCTTCTGGTGCTCCCTCAGCCCGTGTTCTGCAGCACCGGGGCCCCCAGGGTCTTTCAGGGGTGGGTGGAACATGGCAGCAGCTCCTCGCAGAGCCTGGCATGCCCGCAGCCGGCACACACACCCTCATTCCGAGAGTGGATACCCTCTCCCACCCAGGCCCCTGCGTGTTCCAGACCAAACACTGAGCCCGGATGTCACCTCCCAGCGGTGTGGCTTTGCCCACGGCCTTGTCCTTTCTCAGCCTGTGCCTCCCTCCTTTCTTTCTCTCTGCAAGATGTGAGGAGCGGCTCCCCCTGCAGGAGACCAGAGGCACCCTCTGGGGCCCACGGCACCGGGGAGGCCCCAGCAAGACCGCAGTCCTGGTTCTCACCACTGACAGGAGGGGAAGCGGGCACGGGGGACTGGAAGACCCCTGCTTCGGCCAGTAGGGGAGGCAGGGCAAACAAGGACTGCTGGCGTGGGGAGCAGCTCGGGTGGGAGGAAGACACTCAAGGCCTGTTGGGCGGAAAAGAAGATTTCATCTGCACCGAGGGCTCCGCCTCTAGGATTCAGTGACCGAGCCCACAGGGAGAGCATTATTCCTGTGTTCACTTTCCACAACTGGAGAACTGCATCAGCACAGACCCCGAGGGTGCTCCCTTGGTTGTACCTGGGGTCCTTACCCTTACTCGGGTGGGTCCACTGAGGCAGTCCATGGAGGCAGGGAGTTTGGCTGGACAGAAAGGACCACGTAAATGACCTGGCACCTGGTTCCATCTTCCTATCAGCTGCAGCCCCCCACCCCCGCCGGCCTCAGTTTCTTCATATGCAGTCTGACACAGGAATGATGCAGGCCCGGGTATTAGCCCTTCCTTTCCGGGATCAATGTGGTCCCAACCGAGCTGGGACTGGACCTCCTTCATGATGAGGTTGGTGCAGAGGTGGAGCCAGACCACTCAGACCACGGCTCCGGGCCAGGACGGGCCGCAGACAAGCTCCGGAGCAGAGTGGCCCAGGCTGCGTGTTGTGCAGCCCAGGGGTGTCGTTCACAACCTGTGCACAGCAGTGGTCACCTCCGAGGCTCCTTGCCTTCTCCTCACTGCCTTGGGGCTCCAGGGAGGAGCTGGCCCTGGGCTCCGTGGGGTGCACGCCTACAGGGTGCCTTGTGAGACTGCAGGGTGGGATGCACAGATGGAGCCACTTCCACAGACACCAGCAACTTTTCTGTGAACCCACTGAATGGCTACAGAAGTGAAAGGGTGCAGCCTCATACCCCTCGTTCCAGCACACACACACACACACACACACACACACACACACGTACGCATACCTGAAATGCACACACACAACTAGAACGCTAGGTGGCCACAAAAAGAGTAGTTCCCCCGCAATGATGTGGATGAGTCTCAGACAGGCTTGAATGACAGGACACAGACGCAGAGGCCACGTGGTGTTCAAGTCTGTCACGGGACGTTCCAGAGCAGACAGCCCACGGTGAAAGAAATCCAGACAGTGGTTGCCTGTGGGGAGCAGGGGAGCCAGCGACGTGATGTCAAGGGACTTGACTTAAAGCAGGTGGCTGCATTTGGGCCCAGAGAACAGGCAGTGCCTGGATCGGAGGGAGGGCCTACAGGGGAGGTCCTGTGTTCACCTGTCCTATCCAGGTGAGAGGGGGTTTAGCAGCTGAGGTTTGGAGGTGAGTGCCCGAGGCTACACAGCCCTACCCTTTGAGCTGGACACCACTGGGACCCATCACTCTGCAGGCAGAGCCTTCTAGGGGCAGGCACAGGGCAGGGCGGCTGGGCTGGCTGGGCAGGAAGGTGAACTGTGACAGGAGGGGTAAGTTGGGACTGGAGTGTGGTGAGGCCCTCACTGAGGTGGGTGACCGACAAGGGGAACAGGACAGACATCGAGTCCCTAGCTGTTCAGGGACACTGCTGAGGCTGCTGGCTACAGGTTCTGGGCCTCCAAGAATCCTTTTGCACAGTTACCTCCCCTCCAGCCCCTCAGAATTGGCTCCACAGGCCGTGCTCCTTGGAAACAGCTGGGCTCAGCCTCTTGGGCCAGACAGGCAGGTGTTCAGTGTGCATGAGTGGTTAACCAGCCTTGTGTGCGCGAGGTCAGTGAGCCCAGCTGCTCCCAGGGAGGGCCCCTGGGTCCCAGCCTGGAGACAGTGCACACTAGTAACTGTGTGCACTAGTAACTCTGTGTGCACTAGTAACTCTGTTAACCAGCCTTGCGTACGTGAGGTCAGTGAGCCCAGCTGCTCCCAGGGAGGGCCCCTGGGTCTCAGCCTGGACAAGTGACCCAAGGGACCAGGAGGCCCCAGTCCAGAGTTGCAAACACAAAGGGGCTCACTTCGTCAACTTCTCTGCCTCTCAGGCAGAGGGTTTGTTCCTCTGTCCACCCAGCCAGGTGCCCCGTGGAGTCCTGGTGAAGTCCAGGTGGCTGTGACCTCTACCCAGAGCCCACGCAGGGGCAGGGGTGGTGCGGTCTGGCTTCTGGCCCAGAAGTAGATGCTGTAGATTCTGCAAACCACATGGGTGACAGAGAACAGGGCAGCTGGAGGGGCTCTGAAGGAGGCGATGTTCCCGCTCACCCAGGGTGGGCGTGGGCTCTGTAGACCAACTCTGGGGCTGTGGCTCCGGCTCCAGCTCTGCTGACGCTGTGTCCGGCCTGGGGAGCTGCTTGGGCCCGTTTTCTCCTCTGACGATGGGGCTGCTGGTGACCAGAAAGCAGTGCATGAGGAGTAACGGTAAGAAACGGGGCGCAGACCGAGGGTGTGTACGTACGAGCTCTCTCTGTCACCATCACCTGGGGGTTAACACCCCAGGTGGGGCGGCCTTGGGCGGGTGCCCTGTGAGCTGGGGGAGCAGAAGGCAGGCCAAAGAGGCTGGACCACTTGGAGCCAAGGACAGAGTCCCGAGAGAGGGACAGACGGGGTCTGCTGACTCCAGGTGTGGGAGCGAGAGAGACCTGTGGGAATGGTTGACGTCCTAAGAGGGTCACCCTGGCTGCGGTGTGGGAAGTGGCACAGAGAGGCCAGTGTGGTAACTGGGAGAGAGAAGGGGACTGAGCCAGACAGGCAAGTGGGGGACTTGAACCAGTGAGTAGGTTGCATAGACAGCTGGGTGAGGGGCACCCTGACTGAGCCAGTTGATGTTGGTGTGAGCTGCTGGGTGGATGGTAGCGACCAGCCAGCCCAGCCGCCCTGCCCCTAGAAGGTTCTGCCTGCAGAATGATGAATCCCAGCGGTGGCCAGCTCAAAGGGCAGGGCATCATGGCCTTGGGCATGATGCCAACAAATGACACTCCACTTTGGAAGTCTGTTTGGCAGTTTCTTACTACATTAAAAATACACTTAACGTAAGATCGGTCCTTTCCACTCCTACATGCTGCTCAGGAGAAATGAAAACTTGTTTTTCATGAAAAACCTGGAAGGGGATATTTAGCACAGCCTTGTGTGTAATCGCCCCAAACAGGAAGAAAGCCACATGCCCCTCCACTGTCATTGTGGAGACAGGTGGCCAGACTGACCTCTCCACAGGAATGCTCCTGAGCAAGGAGAAGGGATGGGCGTTGATTCATGGACCATACGGTTCATCCCAGAGCACGACGCCCAGTGAGAGGAGCCAGACTGAGGAGGAGCTCGTTCTCACCGGGTTCTGGGAAAGCCAGCACGACAGGGTGCGGGGCGCACCGTGGTCACCAGGGCAGAGGGGTGGCTGCATTCTCCTGATCATCGTGGTGGTCACACAGATGTGTGCACTTTGTCAAGACTCCCCGGACTCTGTGCCACAAAAGATGAATGCAGGTCAAGTGTACCTTATTTTTTAAAAAGGGGAAGAAAAAGCGGTTGCCTACAAAACTCATATGTAGAGAGCTCTGTGTGCCTGGATTTTGAAGGAGAGGCCGGGTCTGAAGGTCGAGATGGGTGTGGCTGGAGCCGGACGATCCTGAGAAGGTAACATGACGCAGCGGGATGTGGGAGGGAGGCAGACGTTAGGGAGAACCGAGGCTTCTGCTGAACAGACACGGCACTGCGTGACACCCACAGCACCTCGAATTCAGGAGAGGTGGTGCTTTCAAGGCTTCCTCCCCATCCCAAGGTGACATTTCAGGGGAAAAACAGGTCTCAGCGACCCCAACAGGGCCAGGGTCCTCCGGGCATCTGGGCTCCTGGAGGAGAGGCTGAGGAGCAACCCCGGTGCAGAGTCCTGGGGACACTCTGAAAGTGACTTAGAGACATGGGTGGTCTACAGTTTATTTCCCAGGACCCCTTTTCTTTTTTTATCCTCACCCGAGGACATTTTCCCATTTTTTTTTTGTTCAGACAGAGTGGGAGGAAGAGAGAGGAACAGAGAGAGAGAGAAAAACATCGACGTGAAAGGGACACATCGAATGGCTGCCACCCGCACGACCGACCAGGGCCGGGGACAAACTGCAACCGAGGTACGTGCCCTTAGCGGGAACCAAACCTGGGTCTCTCTGGACCGCAGGCTGACGCTCTAACCGCTGAGCCAAACCGGCCAGGCCCAGGACCCCTTTTCAAATGGAAGGAGGCATGAATAATAATTGCATGGGGATCACAGGGGTAAAATGGGACTGTTTGACCAGCTGGATCCCATTCGGAGGCTACCCAGGCCGGAGTGAGGCCTCCTCAGCTGCTCCCCTCCTTCTGCCACACCGATCCCTGCCAGGTGCACTGACCACCCCATCCTGTCCCCAAGGGACCTGAACATGAG